AACCGGGTTTGATTCCCCACTCCTCCACTTGCACCTGCAGATGTGACCTTGGGTCAGTCACAAGCTCTGGCACAGCTATCCTTGAAAAAGAGCAGTTGCTGTCAGAGTTCTCTCAGCCCCACCCACTTCACAGGGTGTCTGTTGTGGGGAGGGGCAGGAGGTTGTAAGCCGCTCTGAGACTCCGAGTGAAGGGCGGGGTATAAATCCAATCTCTTCTTCTTCTTCTAATTGATGCAGTATCCAAATCGCTCGCTCACAACTTTAACGCCAGCAGCTCACAAGAAAAAGAAGAAGAAGAAGAGATTGGATTTATCCCCCGCCCTTCACTACCCAGAGGTGTCTCAGAGCGGCTTACAAACTCCTTTCCCTTCCCCTCCCCACAACAGACACCCTGTGAGGTAGGTGGGGATGAGAGAGCTCTGACAGAAACTGCTCTTTTTCAAGGACAGCTCTTATCAGAACTACGGCTTGCCCAAGGTCACCCAGCCAGGTGCAAGCGGAGGAGTGGGGAATCAAACCCGGTTCTCCCAGATTAGAGTCCGCGCACTTAACCACAACACCAAACTGGCTCTCAGGTAGAGGTTTTGCTCACAGGACTCCCCAGCTCAGGGGGAGCATTGTGCGTTGCAGGGCACCAGCTCGGCTTTAAGCGGGGCCACCCAGAACAAGCCCGCCTCACCTGAGAGAGCCTTGCACTCCTTCTTGGGCATGAAGGGCTCCTGATGGACCACGGTGCTGGGATGAGCCTTGAACGAGGCGGCTTCCTTCTGCTGCTTCAGCTCCGCCTTGAGCTGCTCGGAGGGAAGAAGGGAAGAAAAGGGTGAGAGGAGCAGAGAGGAGCAAACAGGAGCCCCCCCCCGCCCGACACAGGTCAAGGACCTTCAGACAGGAACTCATTAGCATAATAGGCCACACTCAACAGCAGGAACTCATTCGGATTGGCTACATTAGGGGGGTGTGGCCTAACATGCAAAGGAGTTCCTGCTACAAAAAAAGGCCCTGGGTTTTGACCACAAACAAGGTAAACAGAATAAGAAGCGAAAGGTGGGTGTGGCTGGATGACCACACTTCTGGCAACAGGGGGCGGCGACCTAATATGCCAATGAGCTGTGCTGTCAGGGGTGTGGCCTAATATGCTAATGAGTTCCTGCTGTTGGGTGTAGCCTATTATGCTAATGAGTTCCTGCTGGGCTTTTTCTACAAAAAAAAGCCCTGAGTTAAAGTGTTCTATATGTTCCATCTTATAATGTGCATTGTGTATTGTTCATAATATTCTAAAACAGGTATATATTCATTACATGCAACATCAACAATAACAATCAGTTTGTACAGTCTAATAGCTACCAGTCAATTGACATCCTTTTTATACAATCAACCCCAGCGGGGGTTTCTAGAATGGTACACCGGCTTCTCCTCGCTTGAAAGTCTTCTAAAGGGGGAAGTTTCCTTTTGTGGTTACATTGTTTGTTGCTGGTCCCACAAAAGGCCCATTAAGCAGCTGACATTCATAGACGGAGCGCAAAATTGTGTAAAAAGGATGTAAATTGACTTATAAAAAAGGTTTATGCAGTGTATATATTTGTTGTTAGCCTCCAGGTGGGGCCTGGGGATCCCCCGGAATTCCAGCTCATCTCCAGACTACGGAGATCAGTTCCCCAAGAGAAAATGGATGCTCTAGAGTCTAGAGCAGTGATGGCGAACCTTTCAGAGACCGAGTGCCCAAACCCCACTTATTTATCGCAAAGTGCCAACACGGCAATTTAACCTGAATACTGAGGTTTTACTTTAGAAGAAACAACTCATACATTAACTTAAGATGATCCAGACAAAGTACGGAAAGCAATCCCAAATGCTTTCATTTACTTAAAATTATTTGGCAGAGAATTCGACACTTTAATGATGGTCTGGGGCCTGGCTGGGGCGATGGCATGCGTGCCCCCAGAGAGGGCTCTGAGTGCCACCTCTGGCACCCGTGCCGTAGGTTCGCCACCACTGGTCTAGAGGGTGGACTTTATGGCATAGTACCCCACAGGCTCCACCCCCAAACCTCCAAATGTTACAAATTTCCCAACCAGGAGCTGGTAACCCTACCCCACCCCCAACCGGGGAAGACCTGGCACCCCTAGTTTAGATTCTCTGCCTCCGCTGTGTGCTGCAGTTACAGGCCCAGTCCGCAGGGACACTTGGGAAGAGGCGTGGGGCTGTTCCAAAATGACCCCGGGCCCAATCAGGGAAGCTCCAGACTCTCTCTCTTTTTAAATTTTCGTCTTTTTTTCCTTTGGGCCAAAATATAAATAGGTTTTTTAAAAATGCAGCAAAATAAAGCAAAACGGCAATCAAACAAAATCGCAAAATGCAAAACAGAGAGAGAGAGACAGACAGACAGACAGAGAGACTGAGATCTCCCCCCCGGCCCCACCCACTTACACAGAAAAGCAGCCCGGAGTCTCTCCAATCAAAAGGTCTAGAGCAGAGGTGTCTGACTCATTTGTTACGAGGGCCGGATCTGACGTAAATGAGACCTTGTCGGGCCGGGCCACGTGTGTCATAAAACGTAATGCCAGGTACCGCTGATCCGGGTTGTTGTATCCTCTCTACAAGGCCCCTTGGGCTGCGAGGGGTGTGTGTGTGTGTAAAGGAAAACCCACATGGGTGGACGGGAGAGCCAGCAGTGCGGCACTGGGCAGAAGCTCCCACGCTGCTTGACTGTTGTTGTTCCGCCATGCTGAAGCCACAATCGGGAGTGGCTCCGCCCACTCCTCCCTGAGCAGTCTCCCGTTCCCTCCCTTGCACTTGTTGCTTGTGGGCCTCATAAAAACCCTGGAGGGGGGCAGTTCCGGCCCCCGGGCCTTATGTTTGACACCCCTGGACTAGAGGAAGACTACAGCTCACAATGGAGCTGCTGCTGCTGCTGCTGGAGGAGGAGCAGGGGTCATTTCCTGCGGGGGCGCACAGGAGCGGAGCTCCGGCAGTAAGGAGCCCAGGGGGCGGGCACACGCAACAAGCCCCGCCCCCTGCTCCCAGCAGTCCTCAGTCAGGCCACGAGGAGAAAGAAGCAGCCAGGTAAGTTGCAGAACACCACCACCCCGCCCGCCTTCAGGCACAAGCTCTCCCTCCTCTGCATGTCCCCCCCCCAATAGCTAGCAATCCAAAACACTCCAGTGGCACCTTTAAGACCAAGTTTTATTCAGGTAGAAGCAAGGAGCAGGGGTCATTTCCTGCGGGAGCGCACAGGAGCGGAGCTCCGGCAGTAAGGGGCCCAGGGGGCGGGCACATGCAACAAGCCCCGCCCCCTGCTCCCAGCAGTCCTCAGTCAGGCCACGAGGAGAAAGAAGCAGCCAGGTAAGTTGCAGAACACCACCACCCCGCCCGCCTTCAGGCACAAGCTCTCCCTCCTCTGCATGTCCCCCCCCCCAATAGCTAGCAATCCAAAACAGTCCAGTGGCACCTTTAAGACCAAGTTTTATTCAGGTAGAAGCTCTCCCTCCTCTGTGTGGGCAGATCTGCACGTTCCCCCCCCTCCCCAATAGCTAGCAATCCAAAACAGTCCAGTGGAGCCTGAGTGGTGGGAGTTGCCTTCTGACACACTTCCGGTGATGTCAGCGGGTGTGGCACATGCAAATGAGTAATGCTAATAAGTCATGCTAATGAGATCCTGCACCTCTTTTTCTACGAAATGACCCCTGCGGAGGAATATCAGGTGCGGCCAGGGTGCTGCCCCCCAGATTTCCCCCTGCCCCACCAACCAAAATGTTCTGGCTCCGCTCCAGAAACTAAACGTGTCCTGGGGTGGTTCCCCCAACACCCGAGCCAATCCCCACTAGGCCATCCGAAAGGAGACCTCACCTGCTGCCGCCACAGCTCCTGCTTCAGGGTCCCTCGCTGGTCGATGTGGAACTGGAAGGGCTCGGGCTTGGTGGTGCTCTTCACCTTCTTCTCCGGCAGACTGACGTGGTCGAACTGAGGGACGGGGTGTGCTCTGAATTTCGGCACCTGCCGAGGGGAGGGAAGAGAGACACGGACGGGGCTCAGCGGCACTGAAGACTTCAAGCCTGGCTACGTGTTGACAACATATGGAGAACGCCACGTGGGCGGAGAAGAGCCCTGTTGGATGACGAAGCCCCAACCAGACACAGCAAGAGTAAGATAGAAGGAACCGTGGAACCCCCTGGCCATATCTACTCAAAGGGAAGGCGGCCCTGAAAATAAGATGACCCACTTTGAAAAGTGAGAAGTGCACAGCGACTCACAAAAGCTCCTCCCCTGCCACAGATTTTGTTGTCTTTAAGATGCTCTCGGACTCGAGCTCTTTTCTACCCTTGAAAGAATTATCAGACAAAAATTGTATGCAAATATAGAATCCTAGAATCACAGAGGTGAGAGGGGCTTGGTGGTGCTCTTCACCTTCTTCTCCGGCTGCAGAGCTCCCCCCTGGCCCAAAACAGTCCAGTGACACCTTTAAGACCAAGTTTTACTCAGGTACAAGCTCTCCCTCCTCTGCGAGGACAGATCTGCACTCCAAAACAAGAGCTAGCAATCCAAAACAGTCCAGTGGAGCCTGAGCGGTGGGTGTTGCCTTCTGACACACTTTCGGTGACGTCAGGGGGTGTGACGTATGCAAATAAGTTATGCTAATGAGTTATGCTAATGAGAGCTCCTGCACCTCTTTTTCCATGAAATGACTCCTGCTGACAAGTCTTTGTCCAGCCACTGCTTGAAGACTGCCGGGGGGGGGGAGGGGAGCTCACCCCCCCCCCAGGACGC